GCGTTTCTTTTTGTCTTTGGGTTTTCATCCTTTACTTTTATAACGGTATCCATGGCGTTCTTACAGGGTTAGGTTCGGTAATATTTGACAGCTTAGTGTCTGTCATTATTTGCGTTTGTGAAGTAGTGCATAATTTAAAAATTGAATTGGTTAAATGACGGAAGTGGGTTGATTTATTTATTGCATTAAGGTCAGTTTTAATGGTTCGTGTGCTCGAGCCTCTTGATCATCCAGTCTGCATAAATGATTGTGCTGGTCGAAGTTGATTTTGAACGTACGGTTGTAACGAGCCTTCTTAGTTATAACTTTTACCACGATACTCTGCTTCTGTAGTGTTTTTAAACTGATGCTTTCGCCCAGTTGTGTACTTCTCAAATCGGAGACGCTGTTGAATGCATACTTCCAGTTGCAGTTTCCTATGCTGCGTGGTTCTCGAGCTAGCAGTTTGGTCGGATGAAACCACTGTCGTTATTTTTCATGCATTCTGATTGTCCTTTTCATCCTTTTGGGATAGACCATTCATTCGCGAGTCTTTTGGTCACAAATACATATCGAACAATGATCCAGCTTGAACTTTTTGATAAGGAAGTGAGAACATGACAGCATCGCAGCATGGTTATAGATGAGGTATTTAATTTATCATTGCATAAACGCATCTTTAATAATGTAAGTTAAACCCATTTCTGAAAATGACCCTGGTGGCGTGCAAATTCAAGATGCTGCAGCTTCTTGTTGGCAACAAACTTGTAAAAATATGGAGCACGAAAAGGAGCCTGAAATAAGTTTTCTTTAACAATGAAACCACTGTGCCTGCAATCGAAGTAAGCAGTTGAAGTAGTTCGATCGGGTACTTGTTTTTTTCCAGTAGTTTTCACCCCTTCTCCACAGCGTTTCATTTCAGAGTAAAGGCTATTGATTTTAGCAGCAGTGCAGTTATGCATAAGTCAGTTTCTAAAATAGATGTATGAACAATTTGTATATACCTGTATGTTATTGCGTAATGCGAAATATAATTCGTTTCGTAATATTTTTAAGTGTTTATTGCAAAATATCATTATGTCAGTTATGTCAACTGTTATGTCATATGTCAACTAATTATGAGGAAAGAGATGAAAACATTTTTGTTAAAAAATTTTCAACGTACGGATTAACGGACTCCGTTGTTCGTCATACCCTCGGTGAGACGAGGAACCACTTCACCCACATTAAAGCGAGATTAAATTCTCATGAAGAAAATTGACCGAGAAGTTAGTGGTTCTACCATGCTTTATTTTAGAACAAAATACTTTTATCATGGTCGACTGGATTGGGACGAAAAGAGTAAAGCGGGTCGGTATGTTCGTGAAAACTGCAAGCCACTCCATGTAGAGACTTCATTGATCATTTTTCTTACTTGAACTTTCTTTTAATTTTTTAATATTCAGCGTTATTTATTGGCGAACGATGCTGATCATGAAGAGCTGTTTCACTTGGTGTCTCGCATGCTCGAGTTCGAACCGTCTCAACGCATGGTTTTAAGGGATTGTTTCACTCACCCGTTCTTTAAACGACTCCCTGATCATCTACGGTTCTACAGTGATATTCCACATTGACTTTCATCGCTATTAGTTGTGTTTTAGGCTACATGCGCAAAGCGGGGATGACG